GGTTATCTAGCGTTTGGTTTTATGTACATGCAAACCCTAGGTCTAACCATGGTATAATTGGAAAGCGGTAAATTGCAAGAATTTAAAGTCTACGCTATTACAAATAGTATCCGGGAGTGGGGGTACAAATTTACAAATGGGGATGAGACTTTAGGAATGTAGTGTCCAATAATTTACAACCAAATCGAATTGCGATAAAAGTGTAAATGTAATGTATATCAATGTATAGGAATAGCAAATGTATATTGTCAAATGTCAAGTGTATTGTGTAAGTGTAATTTATTTACAAGTTAAGATGTGAATTTAAATGTGTATTATTAAGTATTGTTTTAATTTAAATGAAAAGAATTAAATGTTTTCTTTATTTAATTTTCGTAATCTTGTATTTTCTTTAATATGTACAAAAAGAAAATTTAATAAAATGTTTTAAATTTTAATTAAATTATGTATATTAAAAAAAATGTATTTTAATTGATTATGTACAAATCATTTTTAGGAAAAGAAAATGTATTAACTTAAAGAGAATTTATGTATAAAATAGGTTAAATAAATAAAAAGGTGTTTTTTGCATAATTCTAAATCTTATGTATTTTTAGTATTAATGTAAAGTATTATTTTAAGAAAAGAAAGGTATTTATCTTAAAGAAAATTAACATTTCATGTAAAAAAAAAAGAATTAATTAAAGAAAGTGTAAGTTTCAAGTTTTAAAAAGAAAAATATTGTTTTTTATTAGTTTCTATATGATATTTAGTTATGATATATATGTAAAAGTATTGTTAATATAAAAATTGAAATTAGTATTAATAAAATTATAAAAAATATGGTTAATTAAAACCATAAAAGGGTGAGAAAAAATTGTTAGCAAAAGAAAAGTATGGGCTTTAGGCATTTCAGAATATTTGGGCTTAGGGTTGTGAGAATAGGGCGAGGCCCAATTGTTTCATGCGTTAGTTTTAGGGTTCACAGTTTTGTGTTCCATTTGGGGAAAAGTTAGGGTTACAGAAACGGCGCCATTCTCTCTTCTGTTCATCTTCATCTTCCTCAACGTGAAGGTCGCTGAGACGCAACCCTCCGCCTAGAGCCACCGCGCCACCTCTTCCTTCGTCCACTCTCTTCCACGGGTCATTCAACTGCAGTTCACGTTAGGTAAGGAAAATCGCCTCAGTCTCGTTAGGTTTCTTATACCTTGCATGTTACGATCTTGTATTCTGATGTTATGTTCATTATTGTTTGTTAACGAGGTTGTGAAAAGGGATGAGAAGAAAGTAAACTACCTTTTGGGAGACGGAGGAGAAGAGAGTTTGGATGCGCTTGGAGGCTTGACGGCGAAGGGGTTACGATGATGATGAGGCTTTGCTCTTCCTGGTATTTCGTACTTCGTCCCTTAGGTTTGATGATGACTTGACCTGAGAACCTTTTGTGCAATTTCTTTTCCTCTTCTCTTATTTTGTGTTTAGGAGTGTCATCTGATCTGTTTGGACTGATTTTAATTAGAAAAAGATTTGAATCAATAATATTTATATCAGTTCAATTTTTAAGATTTTTTAAAAACAAAATCGAACTAAATTAAGTGGTTTGATTTGGTTCAATTGACCGACTTATAATATTTTTTTTATAGTCTTTACTATTGTTTTTTTTGGTGTATTTTATACTATTATTTTTTTAAATAATACATTTCATGTAATTTATTTCATGCTCTATTTTTTCAAATAAATTAGAAATTACTCTTAAACCATATGAAATAATGACATAATTTCTATTGCATTATGAAATAAGTTCACTATCAAATATAAAAGTTAACACTTGACATCCAAATGTTGAAAAGAGATTTGAAAGCTTAACAAATAGAACACAACAAAACACATACCAATTAATATGTTTTATACCTCAAACACACATAAAAACTATTTTGTAACAAGACTATAATGAATTTTGTTGAAGAACAAGAAATAGAAAAGTTAAAAAATAATGAAAATTTATGAAGAGAACTTGAACACGAAGAAGACAATCATAATATATTCGAATGAGAGTAATGAGAGAAACAATGATGGTGGATAGCTAGAACCAACGACTTCATCCTGCAAGCAGAATGAAATCCTTGAGAACCTTGTGTTGTACCCCAAAATTTGCCCTCCCATTTCTCAAAGGATCACCCTGGACTCTCAGGTATTGCTTCTATCAAGTTCCAAGTCTTGAATTACAACTCTTCAAGAAAACTACTCACAAGGGCAAAATGGTCAAAAGCACAATGAAAAAATCAAACTTTGACTTTTAAATCAGGAGTCAGAAGTTACTTTGAAAAAATCAAATTTTCTAAACATTTAGAAAATTTTCTAAGTGTTAAGAGCATATGATACTTCAGAACTTCTGAGTCAGCCTCCACGCAAGCGCAGTCAGAAGTTGCAAATATGGTTCAGAACATTGTCTTCAATCAAAACATGACTCTTCAGCCTCCACGCAAGTGCAGTCAGAAGTTGCAAACATGGTTCAGAACATAGTCTTCCATCAGAACGTGACTCTTCAGCGCATGGAGGTTACATTTCTGATCTTCTACGGTCAAAACATCACCAAATCCCAAGACCTCGTTTAAATAACCTGATGCCCTGCTACATCACAGTCCTGCAATCAGCTGCTGACCTATTCCACGCCTGCACTTCCTCAAACCCCATATTTGCATCAAATTAGCATACGAAAACTGTGATTAAAAAGCAATGGAACAGTATACCAAAAAGGTTTGAATCCCATTTGTCCCCCCCCCCCCAAAAAAAAAAAACCACAACAAACCCACATATACATAAGATGCTCCATCACACGTTCAAGGGGATGCCTGGCTTTGGAGAGAGGGAATCATCAAAAGATACATATGAGTTTAGAATGTTGATGTGGATAAAAAATTATGAAGTTTGACTGTAAATTGGCCATAGTTGACTTTTTCTCCAATACAGCTGATTTTTAGGTCAATTGCTCAATTGACTGAGCAAAAGTGTGATCCAAGGCTTGAAACTTGACATGAATAATCTTGGGGGTCCATAATGATCCATGAAAGTCATATGAAGCATTGAAAGTTCAATTATCCTTGTGCAATCTCAAACCCTAATTTTGGTCATCAGTGTTTAAAGAGGTGTCTTGAGCTGATCAAACCTAGTGCAGTCTTAAACCAAGAGAGATTCTTGTGAGAAAATATTTGATAAATGAGAGGGGGAATTTTGGGGTACAACGGGGAGGATAAGGTTAAATGACATCTGGTCCGGTTTCAGATTCCGTAGCAACTCTCTGAGGATAGTAACCTGGACTGTCCTTTGCTAAAGAGATGAATTTTACGGGTGATTTGTAGTAGTCAGAGAAATACACTCAAGCTGGGGAGACTGAATTTTGTTGGCGAAATAAACCCTGCTGAAGAGATATACTCTGCTGAGGAAATGAGCCTTGCTGGAGAAATATATTCTACTAAGGAAATGTGCCCCGTGAGAGAAGAGAATTTTGCAGGGGATTTTATACTTTTGAAGAAATAAACTCAACTGGGGAAGAGGATTTCTATGAACTGTGATGATGACATAATCTCTGATGAGGATTTGGATTCCGTAGGTTGACGACATTGTTGGGGAAAAGATCATATACAAAAATTATTGTGTCTAAATAAAATTATATTTAATAGGATATATACTAAAAACTTGTTAAAAAACATATACGCATTAGGGCAATAAAAAAACAAACAAACAAACACGCCCATGTATAATTCTGAATAGTGGGGATGTGAGTGGACTCCCTGCACTCAAGGGAGAGAATCCATGTATGTCTAACATAAATATGAAAAAGAGTCTTAGAAAATAAATATGAATACAACAATTGTTAGATATTTTGTGTTTAGGATTGTCATCAGATCTGTTTGGACTGATTTTTATTAGAAAAAGATTTGAATCAATAATATTTATATCAGTTCAATTTTTAAGATTTTTTAAAAATAAAATCGAATTAAATTAAGTAGTTTGATTTGGTTCAATTGAGCGACTTATAATATTTTTTTCAAATATTATATTTATTAGTATAGTCTTTATTATCGTTTTTTTAGTGTGTTTTATATTATTATTTTTTAAAATAATATATTTCATATAATTTATTTCATGTTCTATTTTTTCAAATAAATTAGAAATTACTCTTAAACCATATGAAACAATGATATAATTTCTATTGCATTATGAAATAAGTTTATTATCAAATATAAAAGTTAACACTTGACATTCAAATGTTGAAAAGAGATTTGAAAGCTTAGCAAATAGAACAGAACAAAACACATACCAATTAATATGTTTTATACCTCAAACACACATAAAAACTATTTTGTAACAAGACTATATTGAATTTTGTTGAAGAACAAGAAATAGAAAAGTTAAAAAATAATGAAAATTTATGAAGAGAACTTAAATACGAAGAAGACAACCATAATATATTCGAATGAGAATAATGAAAGAAACAATGATGACGGGTAGCGAGAACAATATTTCAGTGAAAATGATTTTTTTGTGACTTAAGTTTTATACTATATTTTAGAGTTTGATTCTAAATACATGTTTTGCTCAAATAAATGAAGTGTAATTAAAGATGGAGAATGATTGGACAGATAAAAAATTTATATTTAATGATGAGTGGAATAAAAGATTTACAACATGATTATTTTCATTGGTTCGGTTCATCAATTTCGCAATTCCTAAAAACTAAAACCGAAAATCAAATTAAACTATATCAATTTTTATTAATTTGGTTCAATTTTAAAACTGAACAAAAAATTATTAATTTTATTTTAATTTAATTTGATTTAAATTATCGATTTAGTGGAATTTTTCTGATCCGTACTCCTATTTGTGTTGGAGGAGTATAATCAGAAATAAAATAAAAAAGTGCAAGAATATGTTATTACCATGTTCACATGGAATCTGGTGAAGGAAAATAAAAAAATAAATATATAATCCATAGAATCTGGTAAAAAAAAACGTGTTGATTGATGAATGGAATGAAACGGAATAAAAAAAATAACAAAATAGGTCCACTCCACTCTTCACCCCTATCTTATGCAAAAGCGTTACCCAACTTCAAATATTTGTCACTCGTCCTTCGATTGAAAACAACAACCCACTGCAGCGGCGGCAAACACCACTCACTCCCTCTATCACTTTTCACGATTCCCTTTTCCTCCTCCACAACTCATTCATCAGTGAGTTCTCTCTTTCTAACTTTCCGATTTACACCATAATTATTTCTTGTTGTTCTTGTTGAGGTTAGGGTTACAGTTATATTACTCTCAATATTGTTGAAAGTTCTGGACAAATGCGTGTTCAATTGTATTATAGTTGAGGTTAGGGTTTAAATTGAGACTGAGATAAAGGAATGTGAACAAAACTGTTATTGGTTAAACCATAGTGTCGTCTTATTTGATTCATATCTGGACTGCCCTTTTAATCTTCTAATTCTGACAGTAACAGGTCAACTTTTTGTGTATTCATTAGTTCAGGCAGTCTGAGAATCTGAGCATGCCACTGAATTTTATGCAAATACAGGATAAGTTACCTGATAGGTTAGTGTTGAGACATGATTTCGCATGTGGCTTGTTTCTGTCATTCCATGATTTTTTTAGTTCCGGCAATTGGTTTTTGTGCTTTAGTTCCGTGTCCTTGAGATTACTGTTACATGCTTGGCTTTTAGACATTCAAAATTATTTGCAACAATGGGACAAAGAAGCAATGAATGGCAACAACACTAAACTAGGCTGAAATGTTTTTCGATGAGAAGACTCTATCAATTAATATCTTATTCCTATTTCCTTTGGGTTCCGGTATACATACATGTTAGTCTTTACTCTTTCAAATGCTCATCCGTCCGTACATATTATTTTATGTAAGACGATAATGCTAATTCTCATTGTAGTTTCATTGATACCAAAATTCAAATTTGTTTAACCTTAATGTGCCTGATTATACTGATCATTATTATTATAAATAGAGATCATTGAAGCATACAGCTGTAGCCACATGTGGTCAAGCATTAATTAAGCAAAGAAAAACTATTAAAAAAATGCTGTCTACTAGTGCTGCTGCTCAGCTTCCCTGTTGCTGGTACCGCATTCCCAGCCATCTTAATGTCCATCATCGTACCCGACAAAAGAGAAAACTCACCACTCTATCACTTGCCAATGCAGATAACCAAATCCCTCTCAGAAACTTCTACAGTCTAAGTCTTCCTCCGACATACAGTTGCTGCAACGGGATAGAAAGCAATTACAAGTCTAGATACAATTCCGGTTCAGATCAGAACGACAGAAACCTATTCCTTATTAAATTCTTCTCACTTGCTGACTCAGAAGACACCAGTAATCAAAATCTAGAAAACAAAAACCACAATCAACATCAAGTAGACAGACAAGGGGAATTCAAGGAAAACGACACAAAGAGTGCACTTTTCACTAAGATGTGGTGGTTTGATTTGAAAGCGGCATTCGGCCAAAGCATCAACTTTGAGGGCATTCTTTGTTCAACTATGGTGATCTTAAAAGACCCACATTTGGCACTGCCCCATATTTCAGTTCGTGATATAAGATACATTGACTGGGCTGCTCTACGTCGAAAGGGATTTAAGGGTGTTGTCTTCGACAAAGATAATACTATTACAGCACCCTACTCTTTAACTCCCTGGCCTCTGCTCGAGTCTTCACTGGAAAGTTGTAAATCAGAGTTTGGTCAGGATATTGCTGTATTTAGTAACTCAGCTGGTAATTCTAACATGGAGCATTTCAAAATTATTACGTATAAACTTATGGCAGTAGTTGTTATTCATGTAGTCATACAGCGTGTTTTGTGCTGATTTGTTGATATTGTAAATCAGGACTTCGTGAGTATGACCATGATGGTTCAAAAGCTAGGAATCTCGAGAGTGCAATTGGAATTAAAGTTATCAGACACAGTGAGTGGTGCCTTTTTTCTGTTTAGAATTTAATTCTATAACGTGTTTCATCTTGAAAATAAACGTTATCATAAGCTTGTGTAAAACTACTAGGATTGTGAAAATTCTCAGGGAGAATTGACTCTGCGATAATTGTTGATATGTGCAAGTTTGCTGCTGCAGGAGTGAAGAAGCCAGGTGGCACAGCTGAAGAAGTTGAAAAGCATTTTGGCTGTGATTCATCACAGTTAATCATGGTAAATATGAACTTGTATTGTTTACTTTCTATTAGATATTTATTACTATGTAGTTTGTAGGTTTATGTTAAACCATAAATATTCGGATGCAGGTGGGTGACCGTCCCTTCACTGACATAGTCTATGGCAATCGAAATGGATTTCTTACTATCTTGACAGAGCCATTGAGTCTTACCGAGGAGCCATTTATTGTTAAGCAGGTTTGTACTTCATATTCATTTTCTTTTTTAGGTGCTACAAGTGTTCAACACTTCAACTTGATTTTCTGATAAGTAATGTTTTGATGACTGTGATGATAGGTGAGGAAGCTAGAAACCACATTTGTAAATTACTGGTCTAGAAAAGGATTGAAGCCACTTGAGCAGAAGCTATTGCCAGATCCCAGATATTGTGTCAAAGAGCCACGTCCTTGATAGACTTGTCTCCAAAAGACACTAATATTTTAGGTCATCAAAATGCTCCCCCCTTTAGTAATGCATACAAGTCAATTTTGTTAAATTATTTAGTTTTTTTTTTCTCCTTTTACAAAACTGGTAATGTATTCCCCACCTCTCAATCTGCCTTTTTGGTAAGTTAAGGTATCTCCTCTTACTTATAATCTGTGTTTCCTCAAGATGCGGATAGAAAAAATATCAGAAAATTAGTTCTCAATACGTTTTTGCTTTTATAATTTCACTTTTAACAACTCTCACCCCTAGTCTTTTATAACTAGAGTCAGATGTATGCATTAAGTTGTTCAGAATCTCGATATAGATGATTGAAAGTACAACATAATTAAAAGCAATTGAAGAAAAAAAAAGCATGATCATTTTGTCCTTTCATTCAAGTTATCAAATTTGTGGCACAAAAACTAGACAACAGCAAACATACACTTAATTTTAAAGTAGAATTAATTCTAGAAACAAAATTAATTGAGAATATCAAAATTAATTTTACAGCATGTATATATATTCAAGCAACTAGCCTCCAATTTTAATTATAATGCTCAATTTTAAATGTTGACTTAGTATGTAGATTAAATGCTCAATTTTAATTATAATGCTCAATTTCACTTTACAACCAAATTTTAAAAAAAAAATAGTTTGAAAAAATAAAAGGACATAAACAAGTTGAAGATATGAAGATATAGTTATCCAATATCTAGTGAATCATTAAATGGCTGCCACATATTCAAGTGACAAGTCCATCTCCCATGCAACCAAAAGCAAACTACTATTTTTCATTTTTTCCTTTTCCATTCACTAAGCAAACAATTCTAGCAACAATGGAAGCCCTCACAAAATCTATCTACCTAACAAAAATTCCCAAGTCTCAAACCTACTCTATTTCTTCATCAAAATCACCACTTTCATTACACTCCAAAACCACTTCAGTAACTTTCAATTCATCAACACACCATTTCCACAAATGCTTTCTCTTTCATCAACCTGGTGGTGGTGTTATAAATCCCATAGCAAAAGAAAAGGGGAAACTAGGAGCTATACATGCATCAGAGGCTGCAACCACAGTCACAGATGCTACTGGAAGATGGATTCTTGAACCAATTGGTTAGTTTCATTTTCTACAAAGAATAACTAAGAAATAACTGTTGAAAACTAGTTAAGTTCTGTATCTATTTGATAGGAGATGGTGATACAAGGCATATAGGTTACAAGGTTGCGATGCCAGGTGCATATGAAATTACTTCTGTAAGTAATTCCAGCATCAATTATTTTGTGCTGCTGAGTATGAGTATGCTTCAGATTAACTGGTTTCTTTTTGAATAGTATAGAATGAAGTCACTGTAGGTCGTGTTCCAGAGAAAGCTGATCTAGTGATTCAAGTTGCAACAGGTATATAAGTTTCAATGTATTTTGATTTTTTTATCCTTCTTATTTTTCCTACAATTACAAGTGCAATTTTTTTATACTGGCAGTGTCGGGTGCGCATGCACGCATTCGGAAAAAAGAAGACAATCTTCTAGTTATGGATTTGGATAGCACGAATGGGACATACGTTAATGAGAAACGGCTGAAACCTGGAGTAGTTACCTCTGTATCTCCTGGGAGTTTTATTACTTTTGGTATTACTTTAACTCTCTTTTTATGAATTTAGTTGTTTTCCTTCTCTGTTGAATAGCTATCTTAGGTTTTCTTTTCATATTCCCTACAAGGAAAGAAACCAATGTACATTTGATATTGTAACAAGGTGAACTTGATCGCTGCATTACATCAAACAATGTTTTGAGAAACAAAGAACTACCAACTCAGGCTTTTTTAACTGGTTCATTTGATAATCATATAATGGATTTTTAAGAAATTTTGCTATCTAAACTTTGCCATTATCAATGTTAGGGGATACCAATTTGGCTATGTTCCGTGTGTCAAAGATAAAAGATGAGAAAGCTGCAGATACAACTGGAGAAACAGAAGGAGAAACCGAAGGTGAATCAGACAATGGTGACATCTGATATTACTGAAACAAGTTGAGCTTGTAGTTGTAATGCATAGTACTTTGTTTTGTATAGTTAAGATATTTGCATTGTTTCGCAATGCCGTTTTGATACAAAACATATTCTAAGGTTGATAGTTGATATTCTGTTCAATGTTGTCACTGCCAAACAATAGGAAAAGATAAGTTTGTACTGTGAGAAGAAACTGTAGTGTTGTGTTATTACCTATTTTCAGTTATTATGCTAGTTTGATTTTCACCTGTTAACACAATATTTTATTAAAATATGTCTTTATGTATTGTTATATCTAAGTTAAAATTTAGGGTTAATAGTCACTTATCCCTGTAAAATATGTGAGTTTTGATTTATCTCATTTAAAAATAAATTTTGATACATCTCTTGAAATGTTAAAACTCTAAGTCTTTTGTCCCTTAAATGCAAATATTATCCCTTGTAATTTTTTTATTTATTTATCCCCTCATTTTTACACACTTAGGAGTATCCAAAAAATTACAGAGGTAATCAATTTTTTTTTAAAGGGATAAATTAAAACTCACTTATATTGCAACGGGTAAATGACTATTAACCCTAAAATTTATGTTATTCCCCGAACAAGTTTGAGTTTCTATTATATTCTTTAGTTAAGTTGGTTTTATCAATTAGTGATTTAAGATTATGTGAAACAGGAAGTAAGTGTTTGAGTTGGAGAAACAAGAAGTTGGTTTCTAATCTTTTTACCTGAAATAATATTAAATATCAAATACTTTAGAGTTGCATAAAAGCACCCCTGGAACTAGTATCAAAATGCAAAATTCACCTTAAAATAAATTCTAATTTTCTCCAAAAGTTTGATGTCAAAAAGATTGTTGGAATTAAAAGGATTAGTAGAGAATCGGAAGAGATTGTTGGCTTTAAGTCGATAGTAAATAGCATAAGTATGAGTTGGAGGGATACCACGCTTTATTAGTGCGCAGGAGAAATTGAAAAGTTCATTAAAATTCACCTCTAGACTCCAGCTCTTCCCTGTGCCTTTTTATTATTTAGTGAAGCCACAATCACACATGTACTTCATGAATTACATGAATATATTATGGTTAGTCTCATCTCTTGAATGTATTATGGAATTTCTCTTCTCAATTTTTGTAATAGTTATGGTACTATCATTGTGGATCAATACAATTGGCATAAGTTTTTCTTATAAAGGGATCTCAGCTAGCAAATCTCTTAACTAATCTTGTCTTAGTTTAAAATTTGGGATTGTTTGACTTATCTCAGGATTTCAGACCCGAACCGTGTTAAACTCGCTAATAGAATTTATGAATGTGTATTCATTAGATATGTAAAAAACAATAGGCCATATAAGTTTTATGTCCTAAATGTTAAAGTGATTATAGAATCAAATGATATTGAATTTTATAAATTGATCCTGATGCATTCATTGATACTTCTTGTATGAATGAAATCTCTTTAATATTCTGTAATAATTTTAAGTCACAAGAGTCAACGATTTTGAAATGAACATTCGTCAAGGCTATGAGTTTAAATAACTGTAAACATTTTGACCAACAACATCTCAATGGAGTCATTATCTAAGTGGCTTTTTGGCAGAGTCAACTAGTTTATAAAATCCTATGAATCAAATCATTCAAGGTTACAAATAACTCAAGTCTTTGAGAAATGGGGGTTAAATTGCCTACTATTGGACTGTGTAAGAAGGATGTCTGAAGCGTCCATGTGGATCAAGTTATTTGAGTAAGACCAACCTTGAAATTCACCATAATAGATCTTGCTAGAAAAAAGTGTTCCACTTTTTTCGCATGCACCAAAAATAACATTAAGTTTGTCCAAGAAACACCGAGAACTAGAATGTCTTTATTGAAAGAGATTAAGTTCATACCAAAGTTTCCTACCAACATGAGTAATATTATTATAGATGGCACTCACGTAAAAAGTTTTGTTACCTATAGAAATATTAAAGGAAACATGAGTTGGAGTAAGCCCTTATAACTAATTAATATCGATTGTATTTTCTTTTATATATATATATATATATATATATATATATATATATATATATATATATATATATATATATATATATATATATATATATATATTGTATTTATTATGTTATTTATATATCACATAATAAAGTCTTTAGAATAGTTAATTTGTTTAACGTGTTGAAATATTAAATTATATTTATTAAAATATTATACTAGATTTGATTAAATTTAATATTTAAATATAATTTAAGTTGTGTAGACTCGAATCTAATTAGGGTGGTATATAAATAGTCTTAGTCTATATCATTATTTGTAACAATTCAATAATGTAAATCTTTATTTCCTTTATTATTTTCTCTTTCTCTCGTCACTAAAAGTGTATCACGCACTAACAAATTGGTATCGAGAGTTTCCGATTATTGTTCTTGATTGAGTTTTTAAGAATTTCACGTCAGAGATCGTGTTTATAGGGCAGGTGATTCAACCGCTGCAAAGATGGCTAGTGATACGTGAATTATGAACTCTCTTCCGATGCTTGACGGAAAAAATTAGATCCGATGGAAAAAAACAAATGCAATCCTTGTTTGGCTTCCATGAAACTCTAGAAGTGGTTACCGACGACGTTCCTACATTGGCTGCAAATGCAACCGACAAACAAAAAAAAGCCCACAACGAAGTCAAAAAGAAAGATTGCAAGGCTGCTTATTGCATTCAGATGGCGGTCGATGCTGCTAATTTCAATAAAATCTCTCATGCTGAAACGGCGAAGGAGAAATGGGATATTCTGGTGAAGTATTACGAAAGAGGTGAGAAAGTCAAGGTTGTCAAGTTACAAACTTTGCGTCGATAATATGAGTTGTTGTTGATGGGAGGAGATGAAAAAGTTGCAGAATATGTGTCGAAGGTTCAAAAACTCATTCATCTCATGAAGGATTATGGTGAAACCATAACTGATAAGATGATAGTTAAGAAGGTAATGAGAACGTTGACCTGATGGTGGTTCCAACAAATTCAAAGGCAAGTTCGACAAGACTCAGGGCAAGAAATCTTGGTCGAAACCTCACAAACATCAGGTCGAAGATGGAGATTCTAAATCCTCGAAAGGAGGAGGAGGAAACTATCGAAAGGGCAAAGAAGATAGAAAAGGTGTGTGCAATGCTATAACTGTGAAAAGTGGGGTCACGTAGCCAAGAATTATTGGTACATAAAAAATAGGGGATCGACAAGTAAGGACGAAGGATCGAACCTTGCACGCCAAGATTCAGATGATTCTGAAGGTGGTATGATCGTTATGACTGCAGTTGCAGATAACTATGTCGAATCTAAAATCTGGTTTCTCGACTCAGACTGCTCGAACCACATGACTGGTTGAAAGGAGTGGTTGGTAGGTTTTGACGAGTCGAAGAAGAGCAAGGTAAAACTTGCTGACAATAGTTCGTTGTAAGTAGAAGGTACTGGAAATATAGTCCAAATGAGTAATGGAGGGAAAGCTATGATCAAAGATGTGTTTTATGTACCTGGAATAAAGTTCAACTTGCTAAGTGTTGGACAACTAGTCAAAAAAGGTTTCTCAGTTGTTATGAAAGATGGAGTTTTGAAATTGTTCGACACCAAGAATAATTTGGTCTTAAAATCTCCGTTGTCGAAGAACAGAACATTTAAGACTATGATCAGTTCGACAGAAGTTCAATGTTTGAAAATTGTTGTCGACAACAAAGATAGTTGGTTGTGGCATTTGAGGTTTGACATTTGAACTTTCGATCACTTAATCAACTGATTACTCAAGATATGGTTACTGGAATTCCAAGTCTTGAGATGCCTGAAAAACTTTATGAAGATTGTTTAGTAGGAAAGCAATCCAGAAATTCTTTCGTTTCGACTATGCCAATGAGATCATCTTGCATACTCGAAGTGGTACATTCAGATGTTTGTGGTCCACTCGAAGAACATACAATTGGTGGAAACAAATATTTTGTTGTGCTTGTCGATGAGTTTAGTCGAAAGTTGTGGATCTATGTGATCAAACGAAAGGACGAAATATTCAAAATCTTTAAGAGATTCAAGATACTTGTCGAAAACCAAAGTGAAAAAAAGATCAAAGTTCTGCGAATAGATGAAGGTGGTGAATACACATCCAAGATGTTTAAAGATTTATGTGCAAAATATGGTGTTGATCATGAGATAACTGCTTCTTATACACCTCAACATAATGGAATTGCTGAAAGAAGAAACAAAACCATATTAGATATGGCGAGATGCATGCTAAAGCAAAAGAATTTTCCAAAATCTTTATGAGGAGAAGCTGTTTCAACTGCAATTTATATTTTGAATAGGTGTCCTACCAAAATATTGAAGAACAAAGTTCCTGAAGAAGTATGGAGTGGAAAACGATCATCCGTGAGTTATTTGAAGGTGTTTGACTCTATCTATTACAAGCATGTTCCTGATGCAAAGAAGAAAGAAGTTTGATGACGCGAGTAACCTATGATTCTGGTAAGATATCAAAAAATTGGCGCATACAGACTATTCAATCCAATTAATAAGAAGATTGTGTTGAGTCGAGATATTGCGATTAATGAAAATTTTGCTTGGGGTTGGAATTCTAGCAATTCAATTAACAAGCCATTGATGAGTTCCACTGTCGATGAAGAAACTGATGAAGTAGAGGTCGAAGGAATTGTTGAGAATCCAGTCAAAGTTGAAGAAGAAGAAGTTGCTGACATTCCCAACACAGTCGAAGTTGAAGAGGTTGTGGCTTAAACAAGCCAAAGACCTCAAAGAAATATAGTTCTTCCAACAAGACTTCATGATTATAAAGTGGTGGGTGACGATGAAGTCACACCAGATGAAGAATTAGTTCATTTTTCTTTACTTGCAGGTACTTAACCAATTAACTATAACAAAGCTTTGAAGACTAAGCAGTGGAAGTTAGCTATGGTCGAAGAGTTACAGGCAATTGAAAGAAACAACACATGGGAGTTAGTCGAATTGCCAGCATATACAAAAGCTATC